AAAAGTACACAAAAAAGCTGACAGACGGCAGCGTCAGCTCATGTTCCTTGCTAAACTTTATAAAGACTTTAATTGGGAATTGGACCTATTGGGCCACAATTTTATTTTCCGATGGGCCATAAGGAATTAAACATAACGTAAACAAGTTTGAGAGTAACCCAATGGGCCCAAAATGGTTATTGGGATTGAATAAATCAAGAAACCGAACTTATTCAACTCAAGTAAAGATTATATTTTTTTGTATTTTTAATTTATTATATTACACACGTTTTGCAATCTTAATATTTTATTGATTTTTTTTTTTTTTATCGTGCCCATATTTATGACACCATTACAAAGAAGGCAACAATCTACATTTAAGTGGACAACACGATGATTACTTGAAGAAAATATATATCCATTTATGTCTAATTAACTTACTGGAAACCATACATATACAAATATATATATATTCACAAATATACATATATAGGAAAATAAGTGCCATAAATCGGGGAGGTTGAGGGATAATGTGTGGATTTATTCTGTATGAAATCAAATCAACTTTGATGTTTATGTGTTGGTTGGGTAGGTATCTCTCTCTTTAACATAAAATTGATGAGAGAGAGACTCTTCTTTAAAACTATTTATAAGGTTTCTCTATTTGAAAATAACAAAATAATTTTTAAATTTATATAACCGTAACCAATATAAAATGATCAAACGGCTATTTCTATGCTACTCCTGGTGAATGTTACATTGGTTGATTCTTTGTACATGTTGATCAACACAACCAATGTATGTGTATGCGCGCTACACAATGTATTTCACGCTATATATATCATAGTATAAACATGTATCAGACACTAAACAACATAAATATTTGGTCCAAACGTATCAACTTTTTTCATTTTCATTAACAAATATTCAAATTTTACTTTGCAATCAAAAAAAAAATTAAAGCATTTCGGCAATCAACAAATACGCATATGTATTTTTTACTAGGGTTTACTAAAATTTAAATAAATCACAATATGAATATTGATTTGAAAAAAGAAAGACTAAATGAAGTCTTTATATTGAAGAAGGTGACATAAATTACTACAAGTTGCTGACGTGGGAGAAGCAATATATTATTATTTATTAATTTTCCTCTTCTTTTTATATATATATATATATATTAATAATATTAGTAAATGGAAAGAAATAAGGAAAAATAAAGTAGATGAAAAATCCAGCTAATTGGTGTTGAAGAATGACAAGAGCCCCACGTGGGGGAGAGGACAGCCAGTTCACGGACTTGAACACTTGTCTTTAATCTTTTAGCTGTCTAATGCTTCGCTGGCATTATTATAAATTTCTTCCTATTTTGACCTTCTCAAATATATGCATTTTTCCCTCACACTACATTATTAAAATATATAATAATTACTAATAATATTTTGTTTCGAATTATTATTACGTGGAATTTGTTTTCCCATCAATTTTAGTACCTTTTATCTTATCATTAAACATCACTGGTTCCAGATATAAAGGAAATTGGATATTGCAATAAAGTACCTTGAATTTTACCTTTTTACCTGTTGCACCACAAAAGATTTACTTCGACTTGAATATTGCAATAAAGTACCTTTAATTTTTCAATATCAAAGTTTCACCCAAGAAATTTACCCAATGGCTATATTGAAGACACTACTATCGAACATTTAATATTTTTATCTTCTACCAACTTGACAACTATCCATTCAACTAACACTACAAATTTTTCCTCTCAAATAAATAGTACTGAATTTCGGTCCTTAAAAGGTGATTTATTGGTAAAGTAAACGAGTGCGATGTTATTTTTAATTTGTGTTCAATGCTTTATAAATCGAATTCATAACACATGCATGGCTAACTTAGAGTGATTTATTTGAGGAAAAACAAAATAAATAATTTTCAGATTAATTTTCTTGAACAAAATCCATATAATCATTGAAAAGAAAAATACTACCATATATATGTTATTAGTAAAAAGCATTGACTCTAATTTCTAGTTGTTCTCAAGATAATTTTTAAAAAAAGGTTGTGTTAGTTTTTATTACAAATTATAACCCTTAAGAGTTAAGGGCATGAAATTATTGAATCTTAAAAATACTGTATGATCGATATGAACTGAATCTCCCTGAAGTCAAATAGTAAGAATTTCACACGAAGTTTAAAGGCCAGGTCCAATATCTCACATTGCTCACTAACTCCACGATTCCGACTGACTTGATCATCGGTGTTTTAACGCTGGAAAACCCTCCTCGACACTTCTTTTCGCATGTCTGGTAAAACTCGTGAATTTATGCTTATTCGGACCCACTCCACTTCTTCAATTCGTGATTGAGCCATGTAGGCTACATGACAGATGTATATTCCATATGTGAAATTAGTGAATCTTCAAATTTATTTCTTTTCTTTTTTTACTGATTTTGGAGGGAAAAATGAATGTCGGGGCTTCTTGCATCTTGCTTATTCCTAGTAATAATTAATTAATGTAGGAATTGTTGGGAATTAGGGGCCATACAGCCAAGTGACAGAAGGCTATTCCCAAGTCATTGTGGGTGCTCCAGAATTCTTCAAACCACAAAATTAATTTAAATTCCAAACGAATCTTCGAATGTGGACAACACAACTCGACTAAATATGTGTGTGTGTATATATATATATATATATATATATATATATATATATATATATATATATATATATATATATATATACTCACCTAAAATTGAAAAAAATATCATCTCAATTTTTACAATATATTATCATCATTCATAACTTAATTATTTCAATAAATTAAAACTCATCACCTGACCTACAACAGGCGTTTCCATCCAGATATATATCTTATGTTTATATATTTTTTTATTTTTTTATTTAATTATTGATATGCTTTTCTTGTCCGAATTATGATGACCTGCTTCTTTTTCAAAGTGTTGTTAATTTATGTTTATTTTTCTGTATGATTTATGTTTATTGGCTGTTAGGACAGTTAGCTGTGTAAACATCTAATGATTGGGTAGGTTAGAACGTGGGGTCATGTGGATATACTGATTGATTAGCCTGTCTAAAACAAGAAACCGGATAAATTCAAAATTAAATTTAGATATATAGTTTATAGAAAAATTTAGTGAAATTTATAATTTTTTTAGGTGTAAATTAATGGAAATTTATTAATTCCTTGAATTGTATTAATTAATATACATCAACCCCACCCACCCACATAATTGAATATAACAGAGATGTAATAGAAATTAAAAAAATAAAATGAAATGAAGATGAGTTTTACCGGAGATGATTTTCGATTTTCTTGATTATTCGAAATAAGCCAAAATATTAATGCAATGCCTCGTTACTATGATTTCGATTATTATTTGTACGTTACTGGTTAAAGCTAACATGTATTTCATAAATTTAGTAAAAATCTAGAGATATGATCGAGGTGTTATGTGCTTATATTAAAAGTAAAAGGGAGTCATGTGCATAAATTTCGAACTACATGGATGTTATATGCTAATATTGCAAGTACAAGGGGTTATATGCACAAAACTCAAACTACAGGGGTTAAAATACTACTTACACTAAAATATATGGGAAAAAAAAAGTATTGAATTAAAAAGTCAAAATAGGTCGTAGTGCCTTCCCTCGCTCTCAAATACGCGTGCAATAGGAACAAGTTACAAATTACCTTATATGTCAACATGACAAATTTTGAGGATATATTATTGAATCGAAAAGTCAAAATAGCCAAATATTTAGTTAATTATTTTTCAGGATTAGTTGAAAAGGCATAATAATTTTTTGAATATAAATTCAAAACTACACCAATTTTGCTAGGAATACATAAATGGTAGGTAATAAAATGTCTAAATCACAAGGAACATAATATAGTACCGTTGCTTGATTGATTTGAACTTTTCATCCTTGTTATGGTGAAATATTTTAGTAGGTTAATAATACTATATTGGCTTCTAACGTTATTTTGATTTGAAATCTTGCAAAACTCAAAATATGTAATTAGTTGTTCATTGAGCTAGAATTCTAACTCAACTTGAATCGTCAAAATTAGATGTCGAGTGAGAAAGATACACATGAATTAATGAACATTGTCCATAATTTTGATATTTTGAGTTAGGTAAAATTCAAAATGTAACTCATTCATGTATACCTTATAGTCGTCACAAGACATCTAATTTAACTGTTTGAAGTTGAATTAGAATGTTAAATCAAAGGAAATCGAATAGAAAATGTTGAAAATTACGTTCGAAGTCAAAACAATTTGAAGTTGAATTAGAATGTTAAATCAAAGGAAATCGAATAGAAAATGTTCAAAATTACGTTCGAAGTCAAAACAATATTCGTAAAACTGAAACGACATTTAACATTTTAGATTATAATTAATATATATCGTCATAGTTTTAGTATATAAAACCATCTCAAAGTAATCCTCAAAAGTAAAATCAATCCATAGTACATTACATATATTTGCACATATAATAATAAGATTTATTTTGAAATAATATGTCAACCAACTTTCGAAGTAATACGATTATTCACATACAAAATTGTGTATGTTTCATTATATATATATATATATATATACATTATAATATATGAAGCGTCTCTATATAATGTGTGTGTATATATAAATGCAGAGAGAGAGGATAGCGCAGAGAGAAGAGAGAGAGAGAGAGAGAGAGAGGGAGGACAGTGTGAAGTGGTGTTTAGTGACGCAGCTGTCATTGGAATTTCTGGAGCACACAAAGCCACAAATAATCGTTTACCTCTTCTCATATACAGCAATTCAGAAACTTTTCCTCTGTCGGACCGATCCCCCTTTCTCTCTCTACTTTCTCTCTCCTCCATTTCCATTATTCTTCTTAATTTCTTATATATATACCATATAAAATACCCTCCCCCCTCTCTCTCTTCAAATTCCTGTTTGACCATAAATCACCAGAGCAATCCCCACCACCGCCGCCGCCGCCTTCGCCGGTGTCCGTCTGTTGAGGGATGGAGGTGGAGTCAACGTGCTCGCGGAGGAACGCAACACTCATGAAGAAAGCTGCGAGACTGCAATTTTGATTTTCCAATTTTGTTTTTGTTCGTTCGTTAATTAACAGCAAAAGTCGCATTGGGCGTTGATTAATTAAATTAATTATATAATTAGCATATATATATATATATATATGCGATTATGGCACACCATCAGCATTATCAATCGCCGTTCGGAGACACGACATTCACGAAGGTGTTCGTCGGAGGTCTGGCCTGGGAAACTCCGACCGACGTAATGCGCGGCTACTTCGAACAGTTCGGCGATATTCTCGAGGCCGTCATCATCAAGGACAAGAACACACGGAAAATCCACAGGGATACGGATTCGTAAGCACTTTTTTTT